GAGAGACCCGGGTTCGGTTCCCGCTAAGGGCATGTACCTCGGTTGCAGTTTGTCCCCGGCCCTGGTTGGTCGTGCGGGTGGCAGCCACTCGATGTGTCCCTTCACGTCGATGTATCTCTCTCTCTCTCCCTTCCTCTCTCTCCCTCCCACTCTATCTGTACAAAAAATGGAAAAATATCCTCAGGTGAGGATAAAAAAATAAAATAAAATAACAAAAGTTTAACATAGCAAAACAGAAGGGGGAAAAAGCACAGAAATTCTATGACTGAGTCCGTCCTCCAGCGAACTTTCCTTTCCCCCGTAGCGGGCACAGGGCTTCTGCCTTCTCTGCCTTCACACTGTTCCTGAGAGACCCTCAACGGAGGGCCACCCAAGGAAAACAGTTAGCAAATGGACTCATTCTCATTTTTAAAGGGCATCACTCTTTAGTTTTAAAATAACCTGACGTATTTGGAAATGCTTCTTTTTTTTTTTTTTTTATCCTCACCTGAGGACATTTTTCTATCTTTTGTCCAGGTAGAGTGGAAGGGAGAGAGAGGAACAGAGAGAGAGAGAAACATCGATATGAAAGGAACACATCGAGTGGCTGCCACCCACACGACTGACCAGGGCCGGGGACAAACCGCAACCGAGGTACATACCCTCAGCGGGAACGGAACCCGGGTCTCTCTGGACCGCAGGCCGACGCTCTAACCGTTGAGCCAAACCGGCCAGGGCTGGAAATGCTTCTTGAAAAGTAAAAGCCTTTAGGCCTAAGGGGAAAGGAACCATGCCATCTCCTGCAGACTTCTGCGTTGGGCTGTAGATGGGTTCCATCCATGCCATGCAAGTAACAGTAACGATAACAACAGTAATCATAATAACAACAGCTAATACTTAGTAATACCTTACTAAGTGCTTTGCTACAATGACTTATTTAATCCTTACAAAACCCTACCAGGTAGTTACTATAATTATCCCCACTTACAGAAGAAGAAACTAAGGTACAGTAAGATTAAGCCATTTTTCTGCGTGCACAGTAACTAATAGGCAGAGCATGGATTTAAACCCAGGCAGTCTGGCTCCAGCATGGATAATCCTAACCACTGTGCAGTCCTGCCTGTTGAGAAGTATTCATTGGGAATTGCGAAGTTATATATTCAACCGTTTAAAGTTCATTGGGTATTTTTTAACCATAGAATTTCACAGAGAAATATATCCTTCTAAAAAGCACACACCAAATATGAGTGGACCGTGCTAATTTTAGTGGTTTGGAACATGGAGTTTTTCCCATGGACACACCCTGCCATGGATACAAAACGTGGTGGGAGAGCCAGCCTAGATGTTCTGGCACCCTTGGAAAACTGCTCCAATCCGCACCACTTTGAAAATGCGTTAAAATTATGAAATACTTGACATTTTGGTATCTGTGATATTAAAAAGAACTAATGTTTAATATTCAAGTGGCAACAGCTTGCAGAGTTTGCCCACAACACCCACAGGGCTAGATTTTTCTTTAAAATGGCCTTCGGGAGTCTGCCTTTCGAACAGCTGACTCCCAGCTCCCTGCCTCCCTCGCCGCGGAATTGTCTATGCACACAGTGGAGAATGTGGGAAATTAAGAAAAATGGGATTCCCACTGACTCAACCTCCGTGTACTCTCTACTGCTAAAAATGAATAGCTGTCTTTGGAGGGCCTTTCTCCATACGCTTCCTCCGTCCCCTTCCACACTACCCATGAGAAGAGAGGCCTCCTCGGTGCCTAACTGAGCATCAGTCACTCCACACCTGGACCAAGGCCACCCAGTGACAAGTATACTGTTGCCTGGCGTGTTTCCAGCATGACTAATTGTCACCACACTAATCTACTCACCTGTGGCAGCAACTGTCCCAGCCTGCTGTCAAGAAGATGCATAATAATGCAATCAAGGTTTTAAGATGCTGAACGCTGTGAAATATTTCACGTATATTACAACAGAAGGCTTTCCCTAAGCCTTGTGTTAGGTGGTGATAATTACTCGTTGCTGAGGAAAATAAATAAATAAAACTGGTCACATACACATTGACCTGGTAGAATAATAGGAGACAGGTGAACAAATATTTTCTAACAAAGAGAAAAAGAGCGCTGATCAGATTACCTAGAATATGTTTATTTACGTGCATTTATTTAGAGTGAATGTACTGTGGTTGGCAGTTTGGACAGACAGGAGCAGGGCAAGGACGATGGGCCAGGTGCAGAAGGTCACCAGGGTGAAAAGCCTGGGGTGCCTAGCAACCAACAATTGCAGAGTAGGACCTCACCCCAGGGTGACCTTTCCTCCCTCCCTTAGCATATCACTGATCATGCGGTTTGGAGCCCCTGACCTTTCCTACTCACAGATAACATCTAGGCCTCAGTTGTAGTTCAGCTCCAGGCCCAGAAAAGCAGCAAAACCAGACAAGTGATGCCATGCTGACCTCAGGACCAGCTGCCTCGAGTAGTAAGCCCTACTCTGCTGCCAATCCTAAAAGGACACACCTGGAAAACTACTGAATATTCTATTGAGGTCTTTCCCTGGGACCTCCCCTCAAATCTGCACCCTCAGGATGGAGGTCCCTGCGTGCTCTCCCTCCCAGGAGCACCCCCATGCCTGTTCCTCCCCCTAGGTAGGTCACCTTTACTTCCTCACTCCCAAGCTCCAAGGGCCCTTCCTCTGCCTTCATAGCTCATTTCCTAAGCCCATTTCTTCTACAAATCACTTCTTCTACCTCTGTTATTTTCCAAATAAATGTTCTCTTATCGTTTGAGTCTGGATTCTGAATTCTTTCCTAGCCAGAACTCAAGCACCAAGGTTGCTAAACCCAGGTCTGGTCCCACTGGTGACAACCAGTGCCATTTCTCCTGCTGCCAGCAGTACTGGTTTCATTACTATTATGTTCTACATTAAAAAGTATTTTATGTCCAGCCCATGTAGCTCAGTGGATTGAGCATCATCCCATGGACTGAGAGGTCCGGGTTCAATTCCCACTCAAGGCACATGCCTGGGGTTACGGGCTCCACCCCCACTAGGGGGCATGCAGGAGGCAGCCAATCGATGTTTCTCTATCACATCAATGTTTCTCTCTCTCTCTCCCTCCCTCTCTCTCTCTCTAAAAAAATCAGTAAAAACATATATTTTTTAAAAAACACTTTATTTTTTGTTAGTATTATTTAAGAAAATATTTTTTATGTCAAATAGTCAGGTGAAGTAGTAATTTGTTAGATTTTTTTCCAAGAAATGTGGAAAAGTTTAGGATGGAGATATAGGCAGGTATCACTTTAATAAAATAGTAAACCAATCTGTGACATCTTTGCCAAGCAGTCTGGCCCAAGGATTTTTTTTTAAATGCTAGATTGTATTCTTGAAAAATAGTATTTGCCATGGAAAATTATTACCCACAAGTACAATAGCTGACTTTCTAAAATCTTGCCCTGTGATATTCAGATATGTGTGAGGTGCCTATGAAAACTACATAGAAATTGTTTTGATACCATTGCAATAACCTGGTTATTATTTAACAGGAAAGGAGCAAAAGGGGCGACCAGATACTATAGGCATGGCATTTGTACAGCTTTGCCAGGAAGCTGCAGTTTAACACTCTCCAGGTCTGTTCCTCTCAGATTGATGGGGGACAAAGGCAGGTTAAACACATGCCCAGTAAGATCTGAGTGTCAAGGGAAGGGGCTAACCTGTCTATCACACCAGGGAACAGGTCAGTGGCCAGAACAGACGTGGCCACTGCAAGGCTGGGAAATCTGAATACATAGTCTCCTGAACAAAGGAAGTTCCCTCTCTTCTTTTTCTGTCGCTGCCTACGCCGGACCCCCGGCTTGTGGGCTCCCATGCCCTGCATTCGCCCACGTGCCTTATGGCCCTGTAGGACCGAGGGGCTGAATCTTGCCTGATATTCTGCCGGGTCCAGTTTCATGATGGCCCACAAACTTTGGACACCGCCCTACTTCTAGCTTTGCTGAACCCACAACTGATCCCTTTGTAGCACTGGATCAAGGAGCATGGGACATCAAAACCCCAGGAACGTAACTCCATGCAAATAAAATCCATTCATTCTCCCATGTGAATCTTCTCAGAAAATTCCTTTTCTGAAGCTATGGCAAGAACCCCACCCCAGCTAGTGACAGAGAAAATCAACTCTCCAGTAACAGATTGACCAGTTTTAAAAATATGCTTGGTTGCTTGTGATACAAGTAAAATTCAGACATAAAAGCCTAGGAATTCCTAAAGGTAGTTCAATAAAATTGTTCATTTAATTCTCATATTCTATGAAAGTCAAATTCTATACCTACCTCTTAACACATCCTGCACTATTAATTAAGTCATACAAGAAAAAATAAGTTTCCCAGTTAAGTTTGGGAAATACTGGATTCAATATTACAAAATTTAACTTCAGAAACTTCAATATGCTAACATGAATCCTGAAGAGGAGGTGTATGGTTTTCTCAACCTCATTTTACCCAGATTGTTCTATCAGCTCATGTCCAAAGCCAAGGGTCTGCACTTTGACATGTCTCCACATCACAGCTACTCAACACATTCTAGCAAAATTTCAGCACTGTCGACTCTCAATTAAATTGAAATGGTCTGTGATCATCTTTGCCTTAGACTTGTTCATGAGGATAAATATGCAAACAGAATCTGAAACACAAACTCATTTCTTCTCACCAGATCTCAGCCCAGGTACCCAGAGGTAAAACGGCGGTGAAATAATCCACTCTGGCATGTTGACTTACAAAAATGCTATCACTTAAAACAGGGTTTGGACATGATAACACAGGAGAGAGGAAAACAGCAGCTTCCTCGGGGGCCCAGGCCTTCCGTTGTGCATACCCAAAGCATCCTTTTTCCTCGTTTCAAAACTGATAGCCAACTTATTTTTGTCGTTTTGCTATTTAAATGCCTGTCCTCCTTTGCCAGAGCTTATTTGCTCTGACACTGAATCTTAAGCATCTCTAAAAATGCTTGATATGTTATTATTCTTTCCAGATATCCCGATAGCCAAGCCGAGGGCGTTGTGGAAGAAAGAAGGAATGAGGCTGAGCACAGTCCAGTGATCCAAGGCACTCCAAGGATAGGAGCGCTGCTGCCCAGAGCCTGGACCGCGTCATCACAATGAGAACTTACCGGTACTTCTTGCTCCTCTTTTGGGTTGGTCAGCCCTACCCAACTTTCTCAACTCCGTTATCTAAGAGGACTAGTGGTTTCCCAGCAAAGAAAAGGGCCCTGGAGCTCTCTGGAAACAGCAAGAATGAGCTGAACCGTTCAAAAAGAAGCTGGATGTGGAATCAGTTCTTTCTCCTGGAGGAATACGCAGGATCTGGTTATCAGTATGTGGGCAAGGTAGGATCCCATTGGGCGCTTTGACATTGTGGTTTGAAAACCCTGAAGGAGTTACTACTAATAGATAGACAGGGAGGCTGTGAACTATTCCCCAAGCCAGGAAGAACTGTTGCTTATCTGGTGAGAATGTTCTTTTCCCCACTTGAGTAGTTTGAGGAAGAAGACTGTAGCAAGAAGCCGAGAAATGTTAGCACTGTGACAAAGAAAGAGAAATGCCCCAGTTGGAAATAAAACGCCCACAACCATCCGCACAGGATTATCATAAATCCTTTAATTTTTTTACTTTAGCTTGAAAAATATGGTTCAGCTTCTTCTATGAAGCAGGATGTATTAAAAATAGGACTAGAGCGATTAAGCCGTAAGGAAAGGCAGGGTCCTTTTCCTCATTCTGAAAGCACACATTCCGAGTCCTTGGGCCAGGTTCACGTTAACTGTTTCTGGGCTCTGATACCTACAGTGCCAGCCATTCTCTGAGCGCCCACCACTACCCCAGGTCGGCCGTAGATACAGCTGCTACTGTTCTGTCTTGTCTCAGATCATTGGCACGAGTCAGGCATTTCAAGAGCTTGTGATTTAACCGTGGCAAGGTTCGCAAGAGAGACAAATGGTTATGGAGCGGTGCTATTTCCGAGTATCATCTGACCCTTTTATTGACTCCAGAGAGTAGGATGAGCAGGCATCGCTTATGGTTGCCCTCAGCCACGGCTGGAGCTGAGTCAGGGAAACAGCCGGGTGATACTGTCGCCGTGAGTTTCCCCGACATTTTATCATCGGCTACATTCTAGTTGCAGAGTATCTGCATTCTGTAAAGATGTAAAATATAAATAAAAACGCAGGGATACAGGTATGAACTACGTGGGTTCCGTGTTTCATCCTATGGTGTTGATAAGAAAAATCATTGTCACCCATGAACGCAACAGAGATGACAAAATGTCTTCATTTATGATCACAGCTATGACTTTAGACATCGATAACAGAGTATGCCAACTGCATAAAACTTGCAAATTCCAAGGGCTGCATGGTCACACGTCAAACTGTTATCAAATATCCCTGAATAGCCGTGTGCAGATTGTCTCGTTAAGTATTTACCAGGGTAAATGAAGGAGAGCCATCCATGGCTTGGGCTGAGGTAACCAGGCATTATTCCAACGAAGTGAATTATTAATGTGGAATGAAGTAGGAGAGGAAGCATTCAGTGAGGGGTGGGCATCCACACAGATCCCCCACGGGCCTGGCCTTGTATTTGCTGTGAAATCCACTCTCTGTGTGGCTGCACAGACACAGTCCACGCACTTGCACACCTCTCCATTTCCTTCGTGGGGTTTGAACAGAGCTGCCTAAATAGGGTAATGGCTGTAAAAGTAAATGAATAATCGTATCATCTTCAAAGCACTTTCTAGCATACAAATAACATTACTGTTGTACAAGTTTTTTTTTTCAAGTGCTTTGTCTAAATAATTGATCCTCCTCGTTTTTTGCTTTTTCTTCTGAAATTGCGATGCCATTTTATGTGAAAAATACCACATGTTTCTAAAGAAAGGCAGGATGTTGCAGGACACTCGAAGCAGCCGTGGATAAAACCACGCGGGAATCAGCTTCGTGGTTACAGTTGCAGAGGCAGTACTGCCACGGGGAGTCGTGAGCTGTGGGCACAGCAGGGCTGAGGCCCGTCTCTGGGCTGCGGCCCCACCCCGGGCCGGGAGTACCCCTCCGGGCGGCCCTCTGGCCCCGGGCAGGGCCCGTCCGCGGTTCCCGCAGGGGGCGTGAGACGAGAGTGACAGGCGGGCAGACAGTAGGCGCATGAGGACGTTGTTATTGGTGAAAATCCGCTGTACACGCTGTTAAATTTATGGGTAAGGCACTGAAGAGGGGTGTTAATTTTTATATCGTTGCAAAAGTAAAACGAGGTAACTAACGGATGTCTCCGCGGGCGGAAGATGGAAGGAGAGAGGCGCAATCCCTCCGCAGTCACAGCGCCGAGCACGAGCTGGACGGGCATTTTACTGGCAGCAAGAGGAATGTCCCCGCCTCCCCTCATCTGCCCTGACGTTCTGCCAGAGGAGAACGGGCTGGGGAAGAACGTCAGGGCAGGGACTGACGTTGCCTCCGCGACCAGCAGGTGTGTGAGGGGTGTGTAAGGTGTGTGAGGAGGTGTGAGTAAGAGGTACGTGTAAGGTGTGTGAGGAGGTGTGTGAAGAGGTGCATGTAAGGTGTGTGAGGAGGTGTAAGAGGTGCGTGTAAGGTGTGTGAGGAGGTGTGAGTAAGAGGTGTGGGTAAGGTGTGTGAGGAGGTGTGTGAGGAGGTGTGTGTAAGGTGTGTGAGGGGTGTGTAAGAGGTACATGTAAGGTGTGTGAGGAGGTGTGTGAGTAAGAGGTGCATGTAAGGTGTGTGAGGAGGTGTGAGTAAGAGGTGCATGTAAGGTGTGTGAGGAGGTGTAAGAGGTGCGTGTAAGGTGTGTGAGGAGGTGTGAGTAAGAGGTGTGGGTAAGGTGTGTGAGGAGGTGTGTGAGGAGGTGTGTGTAAGGTGTGTGAGGGGTGTGTAAGAGGTACATGTAAGGTGTATGAGGAGGTGTGTGAAGAGGTGTATGTAAGGTGTGAGGAGGTGTGTGAAGAGGTGCATGTAAGGTGTGTGAGGAGGTGTAAGAGGTGCGTGTAAGTTGTGTGAGGAGGTGTGAGTAAGAGGTGTGGGTAAGGTGTGTGAGGAGGTGTGTGAGGAGGTGTGTGTAAGGTGTGTGAGGGGTGTGTAAGAGGTACATGTAAGGTGTGTGAGGAGGTGTGTGAGTAAGAGGTGCATGTAAGGTGTGTGAGGAGGTGTGAGTAAGAGGTGCATGTAAGGTGTGTGAGGAGGTGTAAGAGGTGCGTGTAAGGTGTGTGAGGAGGTGTGAGTAAGAGGTGTGGGTAAGGTGTGTGAGGAGGTGTGTGAGGAGGTGTGTGTAAGGTGTGTGAGGGGTGTGTAAGAGGTACATGTAAGGTGTATGAGGAGGTGTGTGAAGAGGTGTATGTAAGGTGTGTAAGAGGTGTGTGAAGAGGTGCATGTAAGGTGTGTGAGGAGGTGTGAGTAAGAGGTGTGTGTAAGGTGTGTAAGGGGTGTGTAAGAGGTACATGTAAGGTGTGTGAGGAGGTGTGAGTAAGAGGTGCGTGTAAGGTGTGTGAGGAGGTGTGAGTAAGAGGTGTGGGTAAGGTGTGTGAGGAGGTGTGTGAGGAGGTGTGTGTAAGGTGTGTGAGGGGTGTGTAAGAGGTACATGTAAGGTGTGTGAGGAGGTGTGTGAGTAAGAGGTGCATGTAAGGTGTGTGAGGAGGTGTGAGTAAGAGGTGCATGTAAGGTGTGTGAGGAGGTGTAAGAGGTGCGTGTAAGGTGTGTGAGGAGGTGTGAGTAAGAGGTGTGGGTAAGGTGTGTGAGGAGGTGTGTGAGGAGGTGTGTGTAAGGTGTGTGAGGGGTGTGTAAGAGGTACATGTAAGGTGTGTGAGGAGGTGTGTGAGTAAGAGGTGCATGTAAGGTGTGTGAGGAGGTGTGAGTAAGAGGTGCATGTAAGGTGTGTGAGGAGGTGTAAGAGGTGCGTGTAAGGTGTGTGAGGAGGTGTGAGTAAGAGGTGTGGGTAAGGTGTGTGAGGAGGTGTGTGAGGAGGTGTGTGTAAGGTGTGTGAGGGGTGTGTAAGAGGTACATGTAAGGTGTGTGAGGAGGTGTGTGAAGAGGTGTATGTAAGGTAAGAGGTGTGTGAAGAGGTGTATGTAAGGTGTGAGGAGGTGTGTGAAGAGGTGTATGTAAGGTGTGTAAGAGGTGTGTGAAGAGGTGTATGTAAGGTGTGAGGAGGTGTGTGAAGAGGTGTATGTAAGGTGTGTAAGAGGTGTGTGAAGAGGTGTATGTAAGGTGTGAGGAGGTGTGTGAAGAGGTGTATGTAAGGTGTGTAAGAGGTGTGTGAAGAGGTGTATGTAAGGTGTGTGAGGAGGTGTGTGTAAGAGGTGTGCGAAGAGGTGTGTAAGAGGTATGTGTAAGAGGCGTGTGTATGGTGCATTCTTGCACTATGGATAGGCCATTTTTCCAAATCTGTCTTTGGAGTTATGTTTTATCAATAGACAAAAGGATTATACTATAAAGTGTTTTCTTTTTACCACAATTGAAAATAGATAAAAAATAAACAAAATTTTGAAAAGAAAAAAGCAGTTTGGGTTCCACATGTGGCAACAAGTTGGTTCACTTTTAATAAATTTGGAATAAAATAGATACCTGAGGAGATTTGCCGGATCTCCAGGGTCAAGAAACTTTGGAAAACAAAATTTTTCTCAAGATCAGGCTATGGCAGGGGTCCCCAACTTTCTCAGTTCACAATGCCCTCAAGGTCTCAATAATTTTTCCACCGTGTCCTTAGGTCAAACGATAGTTATGTCCAAACAACTTTATAGGTAACTATGTTCTAAAAGCTAAATTACAAAAATACACATCAATTAACAGAAACATAATATTTTTATTTCATTCTTAAATAACCACAGTGACTTACTAGTGGCAGGTGTGTGCTGGGCACTGCACAGCTCAGACTGAACAGTGCCCCTTGCTCTTCTGCCACATTGATTTTGCACTGTATTGCTTTCTCCCACAGGTGCTGGGGAAGCCAGCTTCATAAATATATAAATTTGTGGAAAGAAATGTAGCACCACCTACTGTTGAAACTGTGAACTACTCTGAGCTAGTCATTCATAAGGTGTCTGACAGAGCTCAAGTTTCATTCTTTCCCTGGAAATTTTTAAAATATTTCCTGGTGCCACCGTGAGTTTCTTGTTGCACCCCAGGGTACCTCAGTGAACATTCTGGGAACCATTAGACCACAGTGCGACTGCCGTGTAAAGTTGTACGAAGGCTAATAGAACCTTAGCCCTACTAAATAATAGTTACTTAGAGCTAAAACTGAAAAGATTACTCTGCACATGTAACAGATAGAAGCGTAAACTGAGGAAAAGTCATGCAGTTGAGCAAATACCACTTAAAGTAGGAAAAAAAGTGTCTAC